TGCAGATCCGTTGACAAAGCCACTCCCTCAGCCTGAGCATGAGGCACACACTAGGGCAATGGGTATAAGATACGTTCATGATTGACTCTAGTGCAAGTGGGAGACTGTTAGTGATATGCCCTAGAGGCAATCATAAAGATGATTGTAATACATACTATGTTTACATATTTATCCAAAATTGTTCCTTGAAATAGATAACTCATTATTGGTTAATGAATATGTGATTATTTCATGAGACTCTTTATGTTGTTTGTTACTATTTCTAAAGGATCCCTGATCAAATATTATATGTGGAACAAATATGTTTATATGATCACCACATGTATTAATTGATGATCATGTCTCATAGATCATGGTATAGAGATACCAAATTAATAATGTGGACACATGTTAGTGAACATGTTGTTGGATAGACCCAACATGAGACACTGCAAGAGCCATATGTGTTGTGTCATCAATGATCTCATTTAGTGTTGGTGTTGAATCCTTAGACCTGAGATTATCATGGTTCCCAACATGTGTAGTAGCTTACTTAGGGACTGCTAAACGCTACTCCGTAATTGGGTAGTTATAAAAGTAGTTTTTGGGTATGCTATGAAACATGTAGTGGGATATGAATAATCAAGATGAGATTTGCCCCTCCTATGGAGAGATATCTCTGGGCCCCTCGATGTTGTAGATTATGGAAGTGCATGGCCATGCCAAAGGTTATTGAGGAGTCAATCACAAGTTATATAATCTATCAACAGGTTCGAGTGAATGATTGAGCTATTAGAGGATGGCACATATCTAGCCTTGAGCTTAATCGATATTGTGAGGCAAAGGGGTTCATACAAGTATACACTAGAGGTTCAGCCGATATGATCCTTATGTATGCCCGGTGGGTCAATACGTTCTGCTAGGGGCCGCTGTTGACGCGTGGACCGAAGAGAAGTTTTCGGGTTACAGCCGAGTATATATGAACCTACAGGGTCGCACGCTTAATGGGCCAGAATAAGAGGATTGGATGGAGATCCAATATGAGCTTAATTCGGATAGGGATCCGAATAGGAGTCCTACGGGCCTTGGAGGCCCGAGTGATGGATCCTATATATTCGTGAGGGGTTTGACCGGCGGAGGTATTGCATCACGTGAGAAACCCTAGCCGTCACTTCCCTCCCCGAGCAAAACCCTAGCCGTGCGCGGGTGCTAGCACATCTGCGCGTGCCATTCCGTCCCTGTACGTGTAGATACCGGTAGAGGCGCCGCTGGTTTGCGGTGCTGATCAGCGTGAGAGTACGGCAAGGAGAACACACGAGGAGGAGAAGGTCGAGCCGGTGCGATCGACTACTTCCTCTACATCGACGCGCGCTACTTCGCGAGAGTTCCTTCGACTTCTCAGCGTCTTCTTCCGCTGCGCAGCGCGTCGAGTGGTAACGATTTATGATATAATACTTGCATGGTTCCTGGTTTACGCGATAGAAAATTTTGATTTATGCTATCGTAGCCTACGCATATCTCAGCACATGGTGTGCCGGCTGTTTAAGCCGCTGATGGTCGGACTTGACATTGGATTGCTGGAGCTAGAAAAAGAAGTCCAGTCCCTACGTATTGGTCAGAACTGATTCTTACCCTCAACACTAACACTAAGTACCCGCACGGAAAATGAAGCAGCGATTAGCAGGTGATTAATTAAATATTTGCTAATTTTTTTTCAAAAACGGATTAATTTGATTTTTTAAGCAAATTTCGTATAGAAACTTTTTGCAAAAAAAACACATCGTTTAGCAGTTTGAAAAACGTGTGCGCGGAAAACGAGGAAGATGAGTTGGGAAGAGAGGCAGTTTTGGTTCACAATTCGGCAGCTTTGGTCAGCAATTCCACCTCCTTCGTTTTCCGTGCGCACGCTTCCCAAACTTAAACGGTGCGTTTTTTAAAAAAAATCTATACAAAAGTTGTTTTAAAAAATCATATTAATCCATTTTTTAAAAAAAATAGCTAATACTAAATTAATCACGTGCTAATTAATCACTTCGTTTTGTAAGTTTGGAGAGAGAGTTCCCAACTCTCCCTACCGAACACAGCTAAAACGGTTGCCTCCTGCCAAGCTCGTATTCATTCAGTAATTCTACCCCTTCTTCATTCTTGGCTTGAGAATCCTTATCATGGGCCCGCACCTTCGCCATCTTCATAAGAGAGGGCACAAGAAAGGAGAACACTGACACGTGAGTGCTATGGTAATTTTGATTCTTTTTTTTTATAATTGTAATGACATGTAGCTATCACATCGGATGAAGATTGGCAACATATCATGTAGGCGCCACGTCAGCCAAACCCACTAGTGAAACCATTAAAGGAGTCGTTTTATATGGATTTAGTAGTTAGAAGAGTTTTGTGACGGAGAATACAAATCAAACTAAACCATCGGGTTGTGTTCCGGAGTAAAAGGTATTTGGAACCTTTCCTCCTCACACGGAAAACATCATAGCTCATTAGCTCATGATTAATTAAGTATTAGCTAAAAAAACTTATCAAATAGATTAATTTGGTTTTCTATAGAAATCTTTAGTAAAAGATGCACCGTTTAATATTTTGAGAAGCACGCACACTAAAAACAATGGAGTAGAAGATGGAAATGGGTACTCCGAACACAGCTTAGGCTACATTCTTTTGATTTGGTTGGAGAGAGACTTTCAACATATGCGAAACGAAAAATCTCATTATCACATGATTAATTAAATATTAACTATTATAAACTTGAACAATGCATTTATTTAAAGTTTTTAAACAACTTATATGCAAGAATTTTAAACAAACCAATTAACAGTTTGAAAAGCATACTAACGGAAAATATGAAAGTTGAAGTTTGGAGTTGAAGAATGAATAGGGCCTTTGGGGGGAGTCAAATTCGACGTTTTCCTAGGGAATAAGTTCACTTCATGTCCCTTAACTTGACAGCGAGTTTGACTTTCATCCTTTAAGCTCTAATACTAGATACAACGAGTTCCTCAACTGTTAAAACTGGTGCAATATAGGTCTCATGGCAGTTTGGACGGCGGTTTAGCTGACATGACGCCTACGTTGCTAATTTTACTTGGTTTTCATCTGACGTGGCATATGAAGAAAAATTTAACAATTTTATAATTAATACAAAATATGTGGGTCCACATGTTAGTTAAACAATAAGATTAAAAATAGTGGGACCCACATATCGGTGGGCCCCACTAATCCACCTCATCCTCTCTCTTCTCTATCTCCTCCTCTTCTCTTTGTCCCTCTTCCCTTGAGATTCCTCAGATGCAGCCGACACGAGTGCCAGCATGCTAGTGAGCGAGAGTGGAGGCGCGGCGGAGGACAAATCAGTAGGGGCGTAGGAAGGCTGGTGAGCGGGGGCGGGGTCGGGAGGGAGGAGATGGGGAGGCCGACGACAGCATCAGGGAGGTTGGTGTGTCACCGGCCCGGATTCTTTGCAGGCTGCCCGCCGCTGTTGAGGCCACGGGTGTCATGATCCGCCAGTGAGCACGCGCAGAGGGGGACGAGGAAGGGAGGCCAGTGAGTGCGGACGGGGCAGGGAGGCCAGCGAGCTCCTCCCTAGTCCAAATCCACCATCACTAACACCACCTCAACCACACAGAGAGGGAGGAGCGCGGGGAGGCCGGTTAGGGGAGCGGGGAAGCCAACGAGGGTGGTGCATAACCCTGCACGACCTCCCGTATCCCGGCCATGGCGGGAAGATGAAGTCGCGCCTCTTTCTCGTTGATAGCGACACCTCGAGGTATAGCAGCCGCCGTGGCCACCCGACATCACCATTGGTGTTGCCATCTTGGGCACCCCCGTGCTTGCCCCCTCCGCGTTCCACCCGGAGCACGAACGAGCTACTGTGCTTGGAGGGCGGGGGGTGTTGCCATTGTCAAGGGGATGGGGCCCTTCGAGGAAGTTGTGTTCAAGGTAGATGGAGGCGAGCGCAGAGAAGGCGGCGAGCTAGGGAGGGAGGTGGCCAGTGAGTGCGGATGCGAGGAGGTGGAGGGAGAGGAGGAGGATAAGGTCGCGGGAGAGGGAGAGGTTGGCGCGTGAGTCACCATCGTCGCAGGGCAATGCGTGGGGGAGCGTGGTGGTGGTGGACCACCAGAGGCTGCGCCACAGGGACATTGACGTGGAGGCGCTCTAGGTGGCGAGTTACGTGTTCCTGCTTTGCCCCTGGTTGATGTTTCACGGCTGGCACGTGTGTAGAGCTTTGGGTTGGAGGGCCTCCTGACATGTGGGTCCTGTGCCGACTCAGCCACCACGCCAGCCAAAACCGAAAGCAATACTGTCTTGGGACCAAATGTAGCCTGGTTTTATAAGTTGTGGGATGGGTTATATCTAGTATTGTGGTTGGGACTGCCTATACATTTGTCGACAAATTTTTTCCCAAAAATTTGACAGATGTAATTATAGTACAATCGTAGTGTAATTACACTGTAACTTATAAGTAATTACACTGTAACTTGCATGTAACTACAGTGTAACTTATATGTAAGTTTCACATAATTTTGAATCGTTAGATCTATTACAAGATTTGTTTTGGTGAGGAAGAAAACAAATCATAGTACACACATATATGAAAGAATTTGTTTCCACAAACTCCATTTTACCGAAATAACATGTTACGGAGAGATTTTTGAAAGCTACATAAAAGTTACACTATAGTTACAGTGTAATTACATGCAAGTTACAGTGTAATTACACTACGATTGTACTGTAATTATATCTGTTAAATTTTGGGGGAAAAATTTATCGACAAATATATAGCAAAATCGATTGTGGTTTAGGGGTGACTTCGAACTCTCTGAGGGACCTTTAGTAAACTTATTACTTTCCCGGCCTATGGGGGCCAGAAAAGAAAACTCCTTTTTTACAGTATGGGAATTTGGCCCAATAGTCCCTCCAATTTGAAGTGATCAAGCCACCACTGGTACCAGTTCGGGCTGGTCACTAGGGCGTTGTTGGGCCGCACGGCACGCCGATAGCCCTAGGCCTTCTCATGTCCTCCTTTCCACCTCTCTCTTTCCTCCTAGTTCGCCGCCGGAGCCCGGAAGCTAGCGCCTCGTCGACTTGGGCGGCGGCTGAAGTCAGTGGCCGAAGGAGCGGGGATTACTTGCCCGCCTCGAAGGCTCTCCGCCGGCGGGCAGGCGGGATAGCGCGGCAGCGGCCCACGCCGGCAGATCAGGTGGGGAGAGAAGCTCCGCCGTCCGTGCCTGCGCCGGTTTCCACGAGAGCGGCGTCGCCTGTGTCCTGCTGCTGCTACCTTTGCTGCCGCATCCTCGCCGGTGAGCGCCCGTACGCATATCCTCTTCCTTATCCCTTCTCTACCCACACATGTTGTCCTCCTCGCCTTAATCATTGTACTAATTACAGTTTTGTTTCCGAAAATAATTCATCTGAGCCCCAATACCTTTCTTGCTGCTACTGATGTGAGTGATTACCTCATCCCTCCACTACCTTGGTGAATCCAGCTCTGCATCGGTGGACGTCTGGGATGGCGGACGGTTCGTTTCTTGATCGGATGGTGTCTCAACTTCGGTCGACGTGCAGGTGAATTTGTAGTCATCTTTTCTTTGTTCTGGATATGTAATATTTGGAGAAATTGAAGGCATTTTTTGAGAATATTGACGCCAGAAAGTCGGGATTGACAAAAAAAAAGAAAAGAAGAGACAAATAAAAGTAGAGAGAACAATGACTGCCATTTCGGCAACAGATGTTTGCCTCATCGCCATCTTGTTAACTGGCCAATTGTTTGAATTGAGCAGACCATACAATGTCTGTGAAATAATATGGACCTAATATCGAACTAAAAGTTACACCATCTTTTTCATCTTGTATATGTTGATGAAATGGCAGGTACTACACTGGATATCCCAAGGATCTAGGGCCATCAAGAATTATACCGTTCACGTCAGAGCGTCAATTCGTGCAGCTGTTGCATGAAGGCCGTCCAGTAGTTGTTGCCTTTACTATTAAGTATATCTAACCTTCCTTTGTTGTTTCTTGTTTATGAAGCACTGGGTGCAATATCTAGTCTCATAATAGTAAGTAGATTTGCACATAGTAATCCTCAAAATTGCTACTGTAGGTGCACTTATACTCAACACCTTGATAAGGTACTGGAGGAAGCTGCTGCTACATTTCATCCGCATGTAAAGTTTGTTCGAGTAAGCTACTTTCTTTAATTCTACTACCTTGATTTTCAAACACCATTGAATTGATGTTAGATCACTAGTATAGTCACTATTGAGTTGGAAAAGGTGGCAAACTAAGGGGCTGTTTAGTACAGCTCCTACTCCGAGGTTGGAGCGGAGCTGAGGAGCGCTAATGCTGCTCCACCCTTGTACTGTAACTGTAATTTTCAAGAGCAGAGCGGCAGCTCTAGTCCATATTATCCAGGATCTCGAAAGTGTTTGGTACAGCTCCAGCTCCACGGGACAAGAATCTTGGAATAGGAACTGTACCAAATGGGCCCTACATGTTTAAATAGCACTGAAGGCCTTGTAGGTATAAAATATCAACTGATTTATAATTGTCTGAGTAAGATAAAAAATTGCTTGATCAATCCAAAGATGCAACATAACTCCTAGAAATATTCTACTAATACAGTTCCAAAAGGTTTGTATCATTCGATCAATTTTTTGTTTCCTCTTTCTTTTTGTACTTTTCTGTTTATGTAATAGAATGCTTTTAGAAGTTAGTTCATGTTGCTTATCCTGGTTATTACCATTTCATGGTAGTGGTGCTTCTGCTGTCACTTGTCTTCTTTCCTTCGCTCTCAAACAAAAAGACATTGAATACTTCTTTTGTGCTCAGGTTGAATGCCCAAAGTATCCTGGATTTTGCCTCACAAGGCAAAAGAATGAGTATCCGTTTATTGAAGTATTTTACAACCCAGAACAGGTTATAAATTGTATACTTCACAGTTTCTAGTTTTATTTTGTTTTCTAAAATTTGTGGTGTACTTCTGTTTCATACTCTCTCTGTCATTTTATTAACTTCTGTTGGCCATCTTACTGTGAGTCCAAGTGGCAATATGATAGATTATGTTGCAACTGGAGGGGGACTCGCTGGTGACGATTGAAGTAATGTAATGATTTATCACTAAATCCCTAGGGAATTGCTACAAAAATAATCTCGTTGTTCCCTCACAGGAGAAAGAGTTTGTTAAACTGTTTAGTTTGTTTAGGAATATAAATATCGACAACTTCAATGGAAATATGGACCTTCATGAGTAAATTTTGACTTTAGATCTTTAGTATACCTTTTTCTAGAGGATCTTTACTTGAGGTATCTATATTCTATATCTCTTGTTTCTGAGTGAACAGTTTAAGCATGACCTAATGTATCTATAACAGTCTCTTTATTTTACTTGAGGTATCTAGTATTTCTAGGTGATGTGGCTGGCTAAGGGTGCTGATTTAGGGAAGTAACTGCGTTTAGTGGGCTCCAATTGTATAGGAATGTAGGATTCTACTCCAGGCATATCATATGACATATAATCAAGTTATACAGTTGTGTTTGACTGTTTGTCCCTATGACTTTGAATTTTGTTATACCTAAGCACATTGTGAGTTATGCATGAATAATTATGAGCTTTGGTCTTTGCAATGATTTGCTCTGCACTTTCTCAGGCTGCTAGCCCAGGAAAGGTGGTGGACCCTAATGTCACGAAGTACTCGGTGAAAGTTCTCCCTGTAAGTAAATTCCATACTTATGGTACTTACTCCTTCAAATCTGAACTTACCTGCATTAGTGGTTTTTGTTGCCGCAAAGAAGAGAATACTTGTCACTCTATGCTTGACAGACTAGTTGACGTTTTTCAGTTGAGCTGATGTGATGGTTTTTACTTTCTGCAGTTCAACTATGACCAGAGCATGTATGGATTCCGGGAATATTTTAAGAAGCACGGATTCAAGTATTTTGAAACAAACTAGGTCAACTATTGAAAATCGTTGTGATGAAACATGCATAGTTAGTTAACATACTATGAATGTACGTGAATGCACGTTCAGCCTGTACTAGAATACTTTTGTTCAAAGCCTTTCTGTATGTGGCATTATCTTAAAATGCTTGCTAATCGGTTCTCATGGCAGCTATCGGTCTCCGTTGTGCTAAGATACTGTGACAGGATAGGTCTTATTATGCTGCATGCCTTTTTTGTGAGTAATGACTAGACTTTCAGATTCAGTTGTAAATTCAATGACTTATGGCTTAGCATGCCTCAACCTTCTACATCCCTTTGTTGTAGGGTGCAGGGAAGCCGCCGAAGTTTTAACATATTGCTGATTGTACCGGAGATTAGTCATGAAACAATGCCAACTGTTTATACCATCGGATTTGATGTGCGTGGTGCTTAGTATAATTTGCATTGAAATATATTATTTCGAAATGCAATTAACGCCGTGTTTAGTTTCCAAGTTTTTCTTCAAACTTCCAATTTTTTCATCACATCAAAACTTTTCTACACACATAAACTTCCAACTTTTCTGTCACATCGTTCCAATTTCAACCAAACTTCTAATTTTGGTGTGAACTAAACACACCATAAATATTTCTCCAATTTGGGCACTAGCTAATATATGCACAACTATTTTGACTGGTGGCATTAAAAAAAATGTTGGTTCCCATGAGTTTAATGTGAACTTAAGGCGTGTCCTGGAGAATATGTAATCATCTGAAACTAAGTCTTCAAAGTTTTTAATACGTTTGATTATTCATCTTATTAAAAAATTATGCAATTATTTATTTTATGGTGACTCGATTTATTGCCAAATGTTCTTTTAAGCATGACTTGACTTTTTGTTTGCACAAAAAATTTGAATAAGACGAATGATTAAATATTTGTCAAAAAGCCAATAACGTTATATTTTAAAAAGCCGAAGTATTAGTATTTCACATGTATTGCACTATAAAGAAGTGTAACAGGTTTGATGACTGTCTAGTGGCCTACTGCATATCGTCGTTGAGCAGAATAGGAAGGGAAGAAATCATGAGTTCGCTAGAAAGAATAGGACAATACTCCCTACGGGGCGCCCAATGCAAGCCAAAAGAATTGGGGCAAGTAACACCACAACAACACGCACGAAAAAGAATAGCGCAAGATGAAAAGAGCACCACATATGCGTGCAGCATAAAAAAAAAGTAACGTCAGATGCAGACGGTGATCAGCTCCTAGGATTTAAATTCAACTTCAAACTAATTTTTCTTTTGAACCACTTAGTTGATTGACAATTCTTTTGTACCATTGTGTTTGTTATAACTAAATCTTTACCACATGATCTCATATAATAATTTGCTAATGAAAAACAAAAAAAAATATGTTTCGATAATTAAAAAAAATGGTGTTTCATGTGAGTTCGATATTTAAAAAAATGGTGTTTCATATGTGAGAAACGAGATGTTTCAACCAAAATAGACTTTGTTGCATATTTTTAGTTTTCTTGTTGCGATGGATTTTTTTCAAAATATTGCACCCGGTGTTATCTGAATGTTTCAATAAGTATTCGCTGATGTTACACTATGTTATTTGCAAATGTTACGGATGGTTATTCTTAATGTCTCCATAATTACAGGCAGGGTTCAATTTTTCAATTTCAGTAGTACTAGCGGGGTTACCAGTATGGCTGAAGTTTTCGTTATTTTGATCAGAAATAATTTGATTTTTTTAACAAAATTTGGCCAAATGCGAATATTTTTTGCCAAATTCTCAAAAGTTTGAGAAATTCAAAAATTTTGGGTGAAATAATTTTGTAGGGGGGTTGTCTGATAGACCAGAAATTTTGGAAATTTCAGTATGAAAATTTGAACCCTGATTACATGTCTATATTCAATGGTGATACTATTTTAACAAATCATGTATTTGTAAATATATGTATGTTTCATGTGATTTTTTTTTGATGTTTTAGTTGTTGGGACTTAGTGTTTCGTGTAGCAGTTGTTAGTGTTATAGTTAATATTTCTTTTGTGTTGCATTCCATTTAAACATCTGATAAACTAAATTGAAACATTTGACACTCGATTTTTTGGACATATAAATATTTTTGTTAAAATATAGTTTTGCAAAATCTTGCTGTAAGATTTAATTGTAACTAATATAATGTTATGATTAGATTGTAGATCGGGTAAGTAATTTATAAGAAAAAATATTTAAAGGTTTTGTAAAGAAGTAGTTACTTCTTGTTATATTTGGAGAGGAGAGAGAGCACTAAATAACTTTTCCATGTTGCATGCGTCAGAGCGCATCCGACTTGCAAACGCCCGATTTTCTTTTGGATTAGCTATACATTTGTCGGCAAATTTTAAGTAAAAAATTTAACAGATGTAAATATAGTATAATCGTGATGTAATTACAGTGTAACTTACATGTAATTATAGTGTCACTACTAGAAAATGCATTTTTGCAGACGGCCAAAAGTAGTTTTTGTAGGCATGGAGGAGGACCGACTGTAGCCCAACGACTGCGAAAATCATCTATTTTCGCAGTCGGGGTAACGGCCCGCCTACGAAAATCCAATAAACAAATAAAAAAATCGCGCCACGCACCGCCGCCACCGCCCTCCCCCCTCCCTCCTTCGGCCAGATCTACGAGGGAGGGGGGAGCCGCCGCGAGCCGTCGTCGTCGCCACCCCACACCCCACCGCCCTCCCCAGGCCTCCCTCCGGCCGGATCTGGGAGGGAGGGGGGAGGGGAGCCACCGCCGCTGCCCTGCGCCATCGTTGCTGCCGCCGCCCCTGCCGGCCTCCCTCCTCCCTCCTCCGGCCAGATCTGCGAGAGAGGGGGGAGGGGAGCCGCCGCCGCCGGCCCACGCGCGTCGTCGTCGCCGCCCCGTGTTCCGCCGCCTTCCCTAGGCCTCCCTCTGGCCGGATCTGGGAGGGAGGGGGGAGGGGAGCCGCCGCTGCTGCCCCGCGCGCGCCGTCGTCGCCACCGCCGCGTCCGCCCCGTGCGCCGCCGCCACCGCCGAGCCGTCCACGCCGGCCTCCCCCTCCCTCCTCCGGCCAGATCTGCGAGGGAGGGGGAGGGGAGCCGCCGCCGCCGCCGCCCCGCGCGTGCCGTTGTCACAGCCGCCGCCGCCACTGCTGCCCCGCGCCGGTGGAGGGAGAGGAGGGGGAGAGCCCGGCTGGTGGAGGGAGGGAGGGGAGGGGGAGATGTCACGCCCAGAAATTTAGCCCAAATTTCTAGACTATTTTATGTATTAAATCCTTGTCCAGGACCAGCCAGGGTACACAAAATGACAAGTAATATGCAGTTCCAAACGTAAATAAAGCATAAAATACTTACAGAAGAGGCACTTGGTCCTCACACCGAAAGAGAACGACAGCAGCGGAAAAAGGCGATCCTAGCGGGGCTTCAGCTCCACTCCACAGGCAAAACTCAACTGGGGTCTGAGCCTTGGTCCTCTAACTTCGTCTTCAGCTCAGAAGCACTACACTTCTGAAAATGGAGAAATAATAGCAAGGCTGAGTACAACCACCGTACTCAGCAAGCCACACCAATGATGCAGATGTGCAAGGGGATACAAGGACGGCTTGTGGCTATTTGCATAAAGGCAGTTGTAAAACATTTTATTGAGCAAAACGGTAAAACAATTGATTAATTAAGGTAATATTAAATCTCCACTGATCAACGCTACACCACGTTGAACAGGCCCAACCAACCCACCTGAACTACAGTGCATTGAGTCGATTTATTAAGTGTGAGACTAATCACGGTGATTCTGGTCGATCGCCCATAACCGCGGGCACGGCTATTCGAATAGTTTTACTCTGGCCAGAGGTGCACAACTGTACCCACAAGACACAATCAACCGGCATGTCACCGTGCCCAGCCGGACACGTCACCATGTCAAGTGATTGTGACAAGACCCTTCATATAACCCCCTCTGACCAAGCACACCACATCTCAGGTTTCACCCCTGCCCCCAGCAGGCAGCGGGCAGTCCTCTCTCGTGCCTAGGCGAATCAGAAAGCCGCATAGGCCGTCGCAGGGCCCATCCGAACTCCATCACGCTCACCCTTGCCTGGATGCGTCAGCCAGCGGAAAGCTATGAACGCGCAGAGATGTAGCCTAGAGGGGGGGTGAATAGGCTTTCTTGAAATTTTCTCAACAATCGCAGCGGTTAAATTAACAGGGCCCGGAACCTCCTGGTGAAGAACACCGGAACTTCCTGGCAGTGATGAGCAGCCCGGAACTTCCGGAGTTCTTGGGCCAGGAACTTCCGGGCAACAGAGAAAATTGAAATCGGGGATGTAAAACAGGTCCTAGCTAGAGACAATCAGGCACAAGGTAGCACAAGATGTAAATCACAAGATACCAGCAGATTCAAACACAGATCATGCACAAGAGAGACAAAGGTGATTTTTTCCCGAAGTTCGGATCACGCGGATCCTACTCTCCGTTGAGGTGCTCAAAGAGCCGGGTCTTGATTAACCCCTTGCCTCACTTATGCAAAGATCCCAGAAGAAGTCCACAGCCTTCAACTCAACACTTCTAGGTCATTTTCTAGAATTGAGTGACCACCAAGATCCAACTCACAATTCCTTCTAGAAAAGACCACAAGTGCAAGTTGCTCTACCTAGGACAACCTCTGAAAACTCAGCACAAGAATCTTTACTCACTTACCTCGTTTCCTTGCGGAGGTGAGGAAAACCTTCACAAACTTTCCCGGGACATCCACAAGATCTTTGGAAACTCACGGACGACACCTAACCGTCTAGGAGAAGATCTCCAAGAGTAATAAGCCCAAGTGACAGCCCACAAGGTATCCAAAGTGCTCAAACAAACCTAATCTTCAAGCCATCTCCAAAACACTCCTACACTCTAATCTAATCTCTCAATCTCACAAGATAGGCTCTAGATTTGAGTGGAGGAAGCAAAGGAAGCTTGGGAGTGGCTAGAAAACCCTAGAACATGAAAGAGCTGAAGTGGAATGGCCAAAGGGTGACCTGGGGACGAAATCCATATATATAACGGCTAGGTGACATCATCTAGCCGTTACTCACAAGTTTGAACTGGAAGCCTGCCAGGAGGTTCGGGCAAAAGTGCCAGGAACTTCCGAGCAGCACTTAGGAAATTTTTGCAATGAAACGGCGCCCGGAAGTTCCGGCCAGAACCTCCGGGTAGCCCTCTCTGTCCCGGGGAGAAAAATCATTTTTCAAAAATGATTCCAAAAATATTTTGACCCATGGATATGACTAAAAGCACTTTGTATACCCTAGAACCACACTTGAAACCCCTCTTAATAGTACGGTTTTTCCTAAACTCAATTTCGAAAGAGAAAAACCTAGTCTAATCACCTTCGGTGTTTTTCGCACTTAGGAATATTCAAATTGGGGGGGTCTCCTTGCATTCTTAGCCATCACAACT